TAGTTTAACCTCTCGCACTAGAGATCAGACCCTTTTGGGTGTCGGGGAATTAGTTTACCCTCTCGCACTGGAGAGCAATTAGTTTACCATCTCACACTGGAGAGCAATTAGTTTAACCTCTCACACTGGAGAGCATACCCTTTTGGGTATCGGGGAATTGGTTTACCCTCTCGCATTGGAGAGCAATTAGTTTACCCTCTCGCACTGGAGAACAATTAGTTTAACCTCTCGCACTGGAGAGCAATTAGTTTATCCTCTCGCACTGGAGAGCAGACCCAAAAAGGGTTTTGAGCAGTTGTTATGGACAGCAGTTGAGCCAGGCTCATGAATAACTTCTTGAATCTTTATTGAGAATAAAGAAATAAATCAACTGTGCTGGAAGGTAGAAACTGTATAACAAACTGGATATTCTTTGGCTTGTGAAGCCTTGTTCGTCGAGCTGCTTGAGTCTTCGAACTTATTTGGAAAAAATCCAAATGTGGTTCAGGGTGTGATTGGAACTTCCCCTGCTTGTGTAGGCCATTTTGTTAACCTGTCAAGATACTCGTCGCATCAGCCCTCATTTGTCAGCTTCTCAAGGTACTACTTCCACTTTAGGCAGTCGTTGGTAGTGTGGCCTGGTCCTTGATGAAATACGCAATATTTTGTATGATCCAGCCTGGTAAGATCACATTTCATGGGTGGCGGCAGTTCGAACCAAGGTTCATTCTTGAGCTTGCTGAGAATTTGACCGATTGGAACTGTGAACTTGGTGAATGTTTCAAGCGCTGAGTCTTCTCTGGTCGGGGAACGTTCCATGTGCTTCTTTTCCGACTTGTTTTTGTTAGACTGATTGGTCTCGTCCCATAATGCTTGCTTTTCTGCCAAACCATACAAAGTTGCTAGGGTCAATTATTCTTCCATGATCAATTTTTCGAATAAAGGATGTTCGGTGGGAATCCCATTTCTGAATGCTGCCATTGCTATGTCTTCGTTGCAGCTAACAGTCTTGGCCTTATCCACCTTGAACCTCTTGACATAGTCGCGAATTATCTCCCGATGATCTTTTACGATGTTGAAGAGATGGTCGGATGTCATTTTGATTGATCGGTTAGACGAATGCTCCTTAGTGAAAACAAAGGAAAGTTTGTTAGAACTCCGGATCGACTGCGGCGGTAGAGTGTGAAACCAGTCTTGCGCCTCGCCTTGTAGAGTTGTGGCAAAAATTTTGCACATAAACGCATCGTTGTTCCTGTAGAAGATCATGGTATTGCGGTAATATTTGAGATGTCGATCCGAATCTTCGTCTCCCTTGTACAGAATGAAGTGAGGTACAATGAACCTGCGAGATGGATCTATCCACTCGATCTCATTCGTGAACGGTGACATGCTTATGTTGGTCATGTCTCGTCGAAGCGCATCGTCAGCGCCTCGTTTCGTTGGAAATTACGCAGTCGTTCAGTTATGAGCCTATCAACTTCTTCTTGAATTTGCCTCTGCTGGGGCAATGGAATTTTTGACTGTCCTCGGTCGTGACCTATAGGTTTGGGCTGCTCTTCCCTTTGCTCGACTCGTCTATGTCGCGGATGCGGTGCATGTGGCATGTTCTTGGCAAGCGAACGGGCTGCTCGCAGACTACCAGTTGAACTTGAGTCGGATTGAGTGATTGCTTCTTTCTGTTTACCATGCTGCCTCCTCCAATATGAGGTGGAGAATACTTTTTGCGAGCCTGGTTGTGAATGATCATTTTGCTTGGAAGGTTGTCCATGTTGATAATCGAAATGTGACCTCAACCGTGAACGTATGCTCGTCCATGGGCTTGATCGGGAATGCATGTTCCTCCGTGCGCTAAGACGAGAGTATTCGTTATCCCAATGACCTAGGTGGGAACGTAAACTACTAGAACGCTCGGATTGTGGCTGGTTGATAGGCTGCTTGCCGAGACGCTGGTAGAGAGGTTCATCTGCCCTTGTCCTACTTAGGGACACCTCGTCTAGGGCACATTGGATCTCGGCGCGTTGCAAGAGTTGATTCACCAAGGTTGTCTGTTGTGCAAGGGTGCTCGTCAACTCTATGACTTGCCGAGACAAATATTGTTCGCCATTTGGATTAGAAGAGCTTGGAATGAATAGGCTTCCTTGAGTAATGGAAGTACAGTAAGCACCGAGCATGAGATTTGAATTGGGAAATGTCAAATCCGCGGTGAACTGTGGTGAAAATGCCCATGGCTCAATGGTTTGTCAGGATGGTTGAAATAGTCTTGGGCCGATTTGGGCTGCTTGGAGTGCTGTAGGAGCAAGCTGGGCCGCAGGAGCTGACTGGGCCACGAGAGTGGGCTGCTCGGCAAGAGCAGACTGGGCTACAAGAGTAAGCTGGGCCGCGATAGCAGACTGGGCCACGGAAGTGGGCTGCTCGGCGAGAGCAGGCTGGGCCACGAGAATGGGCTGCTCGGCGAGAGCAGGCTGGGCCACGAGAATGGGCTGCTCAGCGCGTGATGCTCACGAATGCGAGGCTTGGGCTCGAATTGGTAACACATTGGGCTCGCGTTGGGCATGGGGTGACATGGCTCGGGCCGTGGCTTTGGTGGCGTGGGCCTTGGATAGCACGGCTTGGGCTGTAATGGTGGAGCCATAGACCTTGCCGCGGGTGATTACCGTGGTGGCCACCGCAATGGTTGCCATGGTGGAGCCTTGTGGTGGTGGTGCCGCTCCCCCTAAAATCACGTTTAGTCTCGTGGATTGCCACGGTCCCATTTATTGAATATTAGAATTTTCACTTGTGGAATTTTCTAAATTTCTAGCCATTGTATTTCTCTTTTACGTTTTATCAAAGAATCTTGGCAAATAAAAAAGTCTAATAATAAGAACGTACGAAAAATACAAGTGGACTAGAAAATAGAGAAAAAAACTTTTTGCGCGAGAGTCTTCTACGAGTGTGAATCTCAACTCTCAATGAAAGCACCAATGTTGTGGATGCAAATTTTCTCCTTCTCCTTCTTTGACAAAATTGCACCTACAAAACAATTAACACATTTGGTCAAGGCCAAGAGCCTCACGCGCCCATGATGAATGGGGGGGCTTTGGCCGAAGAACCTCCGATGCCAAAGTTAGAAATTAGAGAGAAAAAGTGTTTAGAGAATTTTTGGGAGTTTTGCAAGAGTATGAACTTGGGTTTTTAGAGAGAATAGGGACATATATATAGCACAAGGAGGTGGCCGGCCCTTGAGCTTTTTTGTGTGAAAAATGGGTGATTTAATTTGGTGATTTAATGGATTAATTGGGAATTAATCCATTAATTTGCCTAATTAATTTATATGGGAGGTTATGGAATAATTTATTTGTAGAGGATATAGAGTAAAGATGGATGAGATAAATTTGAACTTGTTACCTATTTTTGGTTGATTCTCCACTCATTGGGTGTAGGAAACCTGGTGTGTCACAAAGGTAACTTTGTCAATTTTACCAAAAAATCCACGTGTCGCCTCTAGATTATTTTTGGCTTCACAAATGTCGTCCTCGAATTTGCATGTTGCAGATCAATGTCATCTGTCCGTATGTATTCTGTTAAGAAATCTGTTAGTGTGCTAACGTGACACTTAGGCTCGTCCACTATTATGATGCCATGTGGATTAAAAAACAAAAATAATTTTTTAATTTAGCCTACTAATTCTCTCTTCCTCTGCTCTCTCTTCTTCCCTCCCGTATGCTCTCTCCCTTCAACGCGGCAACAATAGCCTAGCACCGAAGAGGCGACGGCGCCGCTGTCTTCCGACACCAACGATTCAAAAACTGATATTCCTATAATCCTCTCTTAATACCCTTCCAAATATCTACTTTCATCAAATTCGAAGTTGATAGGCTCGAATTTCAAATCTAGGCCGTGAAAGTTCGTGGGTTTTCTGGCCAAACATCAATTTCTTTCTAGTTCTCCTGGGGATTTTCAACGAGTAATTCTGATGGGGGTGTGTTGGTGCGTGGGGGATTGGATTTGAAGGGGTGTGTTTTTGTCTAGTTCTCTTTCATCGCGGATTCACCGCGTGTTCCATGTCCAGCGGTGGTGATGAAATCTGGAAGCCATGGCACAAACTTGTTACTCTTGTAACTGTTAAAAGTATTTCAACGTGTTACCCTTGTAACTGTTAAAGGTATTTTAAAATTAAAAAAAAGCGTTCTGCATTGTTTGAAAAAGAAAAAGAAATATGGGAAATGGGATATAAATGATGAAAGCGTGCGAAGTTTAATAAGCATAACCTTTTGTTCTGTTTTTCAGCGTGTTACTTCTGTAATTGTAAAACGTATTTTAAAATGAAAAAAGCATTCTGCATTGTTTGAAAAAGAAAAATAAATCTTGCAAATTAGTTCTGAATGATGAAAGCTCTCGAAGTTTTGATAAGAATTTCGACATATTGGTAAGGGATATGAGTTTCGCTTTCATTTTCTCCTCATACACATATGTATATGTTTTTGTTCATACATTTTTACTAATTTGTTTAATCATGTGACCATCAATAAAAAGAAGAGTGCAAACAGATATGATATGAGTGTGAAAATCGTTAATGAGTCTATAAATTAAAGTTCCAAACAAGCCCTTAAATATTATACACGATCTCAAGACGTTGCTGAAAACTGAAAAGAATAAAATGAATAAAGAAAGGTAGAACCCTAGAGGTTGCGTCCTTTATGTTCTTCAAGACAAAATTGGACAAAATCAAATCATAAAATAAGGGGAACAAACAATATTCAAATCGTATTGGCTCATATATTTCCGTGTTTCTTAATTTACTCAACTTATTCCTAATATTGGAAAGAAAAAAAAACTTGTTCCTAATATAATAGATAGATTTTTTTTTCTTAAATATCATATAACGAAAAAGAAAGAAGCATAATGAAAAAGAAAGAAGAGAAAGTTGATATATGAAAATTTAACAAGAGAAACATAGAAATAAGTGGATGCAAGAGAAGAAAAGCGGAAGGGACTTTTCATTTATTTATTCCTCGGAATATATGATATAGTGTTTTGTCTCACTTTTTCCAAGTGTAGAGAAGATCCCATTGATGTTTTTTCTCATCATAAGAATAAGCTCCTTCGCGTCTAATGCTCCAAGAATACTTAGATGCAAAACGAGGATCATCTCGTTGCGGATTATACAAGTCAAAGACATCATTATTGCCATTTTTCCACCAGAAGAAGCAAAAGAGTCGTGTCTTGGGAGTGACGTCATCGGATTTGAAGCTATGAGAAAAGGAGTGGTGAAACGAGAGGGTTTGTAGGCCGAGGTTTTCATCATGGAATTTGCCGTGAAAGTTGCAGTGAACGACTAATTTGATCCGTGATCCCAAGTCATTAGTTATGTTCACAACTCTAGTTACAGGAGGATCTTGCGCACCCAAACCACCTTCAAATAGCACAAAGAATAAGCAAATAAGCAACAGTATGTTATCCTTATCCATTGCCATTGATCTAAAAATTATATCAAAGGGTAAATGTTTGTTTGTTTGTTTGTGTCCAAGCAACAACCAAAGCACCCTTTATATATTTTTGTCAAACAAGCTCTTTATGGGATGGGACTGCCATACATGCTAATTACCATAAACAAATATATCACGCGGAAATGTATTTATCTAGAAAATCAACTCTATACATTGTACAAGCTCTATTTTTCTAATTCATTGCCAAATCCTCATTATTATTATTTTCAATACAGCAATATATGGAAAATCCTCATTAATTAATTGCCAAGATTAATTCTTTTCTCATCTCAAATTTGCAATTTCCTATTAGAGATGCCTGATAGCATGTTGCTCCTTTATCGAATGATATTATGTATATCCAATGATATTAAACTTTGGTGAATCCTCCCCATACACCTACGTCTTCTTTTGCTTAACCAGAGTTAACTTTTCAAAACAAACCAGAATATGACTACTAATTATGAGAGAGAAACTAATATAATAATAAAATTTTGAAAAAGGGATGGGAAGATGAAAAATAATAAACTAATTATGCACAGTGCGAACTAATTATAAATCAATTATGCAAATAAATACAGAATCCCGAAATGGAAGTAAGTGAAAATACAAATTACATAGAGAGGAGAGAGACGTGGGAGAAGAAGGTGTACATGTCAAAGTACATTTTGACCCCTGTATCTAATGGAAAATGTTTTGGAATTAAATTTGTTAACGGAGTTCACCACAAGGATTTAAATCTTAATATTTTGACTACGGAGCTATCTTTCAAATACGATTGTTTCAGCTTTAACCAACAACAAAGCCCAAACTTATTCCTCATTCGTACACGTGTGGTTTCAATGTCACGTAGCGCTCAATGGAATTAAGCCAGAGAAAGCCGAAAACCTAATGTTGTCAATGGCAATACAAATGGCACAAGCAGAATGAAAGGGATTTTGAAACCGCCGATGAAAAATTTCATTAGTAACATCTTATATATTGCAGGTTTAATCGGAAGCCAGTAGTTTATAACACAAAACACATGGTAGATACATGTTTCTCCACATCCATCCTTAAAATATACGCTATCGTTAGCATTCTTCCGCATTGCGCGCTCACAAGACACAGCCCGAATTTTTCCTTCTGGAAAAGTTACTCTATTTGCACCAGGAAGGCCCGAGTGTAATCATTTGCATCGATGCTCATAGCCTAGAAACTGGTAAACCTACATTGGAACAGAAGTTTTCTGCAAAGATGATTTTCCTGCATGATGCTGGCGAAGTTAGGAAAGTTTATTTACATTTGACAATGCTAGGACTGGCAGCTGGTGGTGTGGAGCGTTTCTCTTTGAGAACTGGTTCCACCTGGTTTGTATTCGACCAAACAGGGTATCCTTTAATTTTCCCCTAAATCATAACAATGTAAGGACTGTCAGTACTTTTAGTGCCAAAGCTGCAGAAAATTTTTTGAAGCAATTTTTGAATGATGTGAGCTATTTCGAATGCTGCGATTCTATTAATTTCTTTTCTGCCATTTTCCGATATTTAATTTGGTTGGAAACTCACCAATTGATGGAGTTAAGCTATATATGTTTTTGTTTCTGGAAAGGTTCAGTCTCTTTAAGTGAAGGAAGCTAGTTGATACTTGATATGCAACAAGAAGAAATTGTTGTTGCTACCAAGACTTATCTAATAAACTAACCAGGGAGTTAGGCATTTTCGTGTTTCGGACATTTCAAATTACATGTCACTGTACTGTAATTTTTCTGTGGCCATAGACGGATCAGATGCATAAAGAAGGGGATTCATCAACAGAAAACTATGAGAACAATTGGTTTCTTGAAATCAATTTCATATTCGTAACTTCATATCATGAATGCGAACAATGTAGTCATCCGTAAGCCCCGATCATGTACGAAACAAACAAGCCCTTAAATATTATACACGATCTCAAGACGTTGCTGAAAACTGAAAAGAATAAAATGAATAAAGAAAGGTAGAACCCTAGAGGTTGCGTCCTTTATGTTCTCCAAGACAAAATTGGTCAAAATCAAATCGTAAAATAAGGGGAACAAACAATATTCAAATCGTATTGGCTCATATATTTCCGTGTTTCTTAATTTACTCAACTTATTCCTAATATTGGAAAGAAAAAAAAAACTTATTCCTAATATAATAGATAGATTTTTTTTCTTAAATATCATATAAAGAAAGAAGAGAAAATTGATATATGAAAATTAAACAAGAGAAAAATAGAAATAAGTGGATGCAAGAGAAGAGACGGGGAAGGGACTTTTCATTTATTTATTCCTAGAGTGTTATTTATTTCTCGGAATAAATGATATAGTATTTTGTCACTTTTTCCAAGTGTAGAGAAGATCCCATCGATGGTTTTTCTCATCATAAGAATAAGCTCCTTTGCGTCTAATGCTCCAAGAATACTTAGCTGCAAAACGAGGATCATCTCGTTGCGGATTATACAAGTCAAAGACATCATTGCCATTTTTCCACCAAAAGAAGCAAAAGAATCGTGTCTTGGGAGTGACGTCATCGGATTTGAAGCTATGAGAAAAGGAGTGGTGAAACGAGAGGGTTTGTAGGCCGAGGTTTTCGTCATGGAATTTGCCGTGAAAGTTGCAATGAACGAGTAAGTTGATCCTTGATCCCAAGTCATTAGTTATGTTCACAACTTTGGTTACAGAAGGATCTTGCGCACCCAAACCACCTTCAAATAGCACAAAGAATAAGCAAATAAGCAAGAGTATGGACACCTTATCCATTGCCAGTGCTCTAAAAATTAGATCAAAGGGTAAATGTTTGTTTGTTTGTTTGTGTCCAAGCAACAACCAAAGCACCCTTTATATATTTTTGTCAAACAAGCTCTTTATGGGATGGGACTGCCATACATGCTAATTACCATAAACAAAGATATCACGCGGAAATGTATTTATCTAGAAAATCAATTCTATACATTGTACAAGCTCTATTTTTCTAATTCATCGCCAAATCCTCATTATTATTAATTTCAATACAGCAATATATGGAAAATCCTCATTAATTAATTGCCAAGATTAATTCTTTTCTCATCTCAAATTTGCAATTTCCTATTAGAGATGCCTGATAGCATGTTGCTCCTTTATCGAATGATATTATGTTTATCGAATGATATTAAACTTTGGTGAATCCTCCCCATACACCTACGTCTTCTTTTGGTTAACCAGAGTTAACTTTTCAAAACAAACCAGAATATGACTACTAATTATGAGAGAGAAACTAATATAATAATAAAATTTTGAAAATGGGTTGGGAAGATGAAAAATATAAACTAATTATGCACAGTACGAACTAATTATAAATTAATTTTGCAAATACAGAATCCCGAAATGGAAGTAAGTGAAAATACAAATTACATATAGAGAGGAGAGAGAAGTGGGAGAAGAAGGTGTACAAGTCAAAGTACATTTTGATCTGTATCTAATGGAAAATGTTTTGGAATTAAATTGGTTGATGGAGTTCACCACAAGGATTTAAATTTTAATATTTTGACTACGGAGCTATCTTTCAAATACGACCATTTCAGCTTTAACCAATAACAAAGCCCAAACTTATTTCTCATTCGTACACACGTGTGGTTTCATTGACACGTAGCGCTCAATGGAATTAAGCCAGAGAAAACCGAAAACCTAATGTGTTGTCAATGGCAATACAAATGGCACAAGTAGAATGAAAGGGATTTTGAAACCGCATATGAAAAATTTCATTATTAACATCTTATATATTGCAAGTTTAATCGGAAGCCAGTAGTTTATGTAAAATCAATATATGCGGAAACATGTAATTCACGATACCAAATTAACCACTAACCTTGTGACGCCATTCCTGCAATGAACTAAGGGTTCTTCTACTTTCTACACAGACCGAATGCACTGCTACAATCAATGGGGTTTGATATCTTTTGTGCGTAATTTGTGAGAGAGCAGAGGACCCTATTATATATCCTAACTGGTGGTGTTTGATAAGGATACTTCCCATCATGTAATCCTTATCAAACTATCATACTAATAACCCTTATCACCTCAAAACCATACTATTCATATCAGTATAGATATATATCTACTCATATCAGGATTACTTTAGCTATATAGTCCACATACACTCCTGGATAGCTTACAAGTATAGTCAATCTAAATCTCTTATGATCCCAATCCCTTAAGCACATGTTAAACAAGTGAGCAGCTCTAACAAAGCTTACATTCTCCCACTAGAGCCAACACTTTTTTATCACAGTACCACCTAATAAGAAATCATATTTGAATGGCCATGAGAATAAGATTAACAAAACCCCGATAACAAGTTTCTGTCATAAGTTAGTATTCATGAAGAACTAAAGGGAAGTCATGCTTTAATATATAAACATTATCCCCAAAATTACTGTCATGAAACCATCAAACACATGAAACTCCATCAAGACATGAAAAATAATAATATAACACTGCAATTCTGGGAAACCTTTGCAACTAGCAGCGTGTATTACTTTATTAGTTAAGATGATCTAAACATAAATACTTTAATGCATATTCCAAAAATACCTGAATAAACCAATGTCCAAGAACAAATGTCTTAAACATGATCAAAACTCCCACTGTTCTGCAGTATCAAAAACTTCCAGCACTTCTATTTTGCTTATATGTTTCTTGAATACTGCCACTGGAATGGCCTTGTTCAACAGATCTGCTATCATAGAACCTGTCTCCAAATAATTAATTTTAACCAAACCATCCATCACCTTTTCACAAGCAACAAGAAACTTTATCTCCAGGTTCCTTGTAGCATTGGATCTCTTATTGTTCTTTGTGAAGAAAATCGATGCACTATTAACACAGTAAAGCTGAATGAATCTTGAGATTGAGTCAACAATATGAAGACCAATGATAAAATCCTTGAACCAAAAACTACCTAATTCACAGTTTCACAGCAAGACAAGTACTTTACCACCATTGTCGAAGA